TGCATGTTCTCACACTTGAAGTATAAGCTGTGTCCAGAGAGTGTGTTGAGATACGTTGATGTTAGTACTGGAGTATAGTGTATGGAGTCTTTTATCCTCTCTCTTGCATCTCGTACATCTTTCAATGTCACAGAACTCATTCTTGCCTCGTTTCTTGAGTTTACATACAAAGCCTTGAAGGGCAGGGCAGTTAGAATCAAAAATATAAGGTGCTTCAAAATTTTGCTACATCTAATTATAAAATTTAAAAATTTTATTCATGTTCTTCAAACTGCATCAGCTCATTTAGTGTCCCTTGACATTAGATTTGATAATGTTAATAGATTAACATTACCACCACACAATACCATACCAACCTGTATAGAAAATACAATTATTATAAGTATTGGTATTACTTATACAAGGTACCTTCAATGATTTGTCTGTTCCAAATAATTCTTTAAATTTTTCAGTACAAACTGCAGCTAATGGACAGGCAGCAGATGGCTCTATAACTACCTAATATATTATTATGTATAATAATATGACAATAAACTATAATAAAGTACTACCTTAAGTCGTTCAAATACAAGTCTCATAGCAGCAATAGTTTCCTCATCATTCACTCTTATAACTCCATCCACTGATTTCCTTATGATGCTCCATGGTATATCCTTTATGCTTGTCAATAATGCATCACATATGGTTTGAGGTGGACCTGGATTAGGTATCAGCTCTCCTAATGAAGTGAAACAAATATAAAACTAATTTTGCTTCTTTATTAACCTGCTTCAAGAGAATTGGCGCAATCATCAGCAGCAGCAGGTTCAGCTCCAATGACCTTGATATTTGGATTAATCCCCTACTGATACTCAGTATCATAAAGTTAGTATATTAAACTGACTTTGGCAGCTATAGCTATTCCACTTATCATTCCACCACCTCCAACACTAACTACTATAACATCTAAATCAGGAACCTATCGACCATACACGTGACTATATAAATACAGTACTCTTTACTTGCTCTAAAAGCTCTATTGCAATAGTACCTTGCCCAGCAATCACATCATGGTGATTAACAGGTGATATGAACACTCCTTTACCAGAAAGAGAAGCAAGAACTTGATCAGCAACTTCTTGTCTGGACTTAAATCATGCAATTGCAAAATTGATTATTATTTTGATAGCATGCAATACCTTTTCTTTGTCAGTGCAATATGATACCTGAGCTCCTAAACCAAGAACAGCATTCTTTTTAACATCAAGTGAATTCTCAGGCATGACAACATGAGCTTTATATCCTGATAGCTTAGCAGCTAGTGCAACCGCTTGTGCATGATTCCCACTACTGTGTGTCACTATGACTGGATCGGGCACAGTGAGACTACGTACTGCATTGAGTGCACCTCGTACCTGTCAAGCAAAGAAGGAATGGATGGGATGAAAAATGCAGTTGTTTATCAGTTGCAATCAATCAGTGTATAATATTTCAATCAATAGGAGGTGAATATAGTAGTAAGAATAAGAAAATATGAGAACCAAAAATAGCATATGTAGTGGATAGTTAAAGCAGGGTTACAGTTAAGATCTAAACCTACTTTAAAAGATCCAGTTTTCTGCATGTTCTCACACTTGAAGTACAAGCTGTGTCCAGAGAGTGTGTTGAGATACGTTGATGTTAGTACTGGAGTATAGTGTATGGAGTCTTTTATCCTCTCTCTTGCATCTCGTACATCTTTCAATGTCACAGAACTCATTCTTCTTGTGAAAAGTTTAAGAACCACCCTTTTGAAATACATCATCATTGAGGGCAGGCAAACCACGTGAAATCCGTATACTACTGATTTACAAGACCAGTCTGGGTCACTTAGTCCGTATATTACTAGTAAAATTAAAATCGCCTCCATAAGAAAAAATGGTCGAAAAAATATTTACAATGTGCATCAAAAATTTAAAGTGAAACAGCAATAATAATAATAATTATCAATAAATAACAATTCATAGTAGTTCATTTGTTGTTATGAATTTTTGAGCTAAAAAAATCGGACTCTATGATTTTACAAGCCTCCCTAACTCCACTAATGTAAGCACCTGTAACGCTTTGTGGATACCATCTATTGGTGGCCTAAAAACACAAAAACCACTCATAATAAAATTTATTATAAATCAGATAAATGTAAAACGTTTAAAGGGTGAGTGAAGCAAAGGCAGCAAAAACATTATAGACCATTATGATTGGACTGAATTTAGCTACCAAAGCAATCTATTATTCATAATAAACCAGGCAATTGATAATAACATCTAAGCAAGTCTGGTTACTAATAATTAAGCTAAAATTAGTGTACATAATTTAAAGCAAACTACATGCCCCTTTTCCTTTTTCTCTTACTTCTCCTGCAAAATGAATCCTTCCATTCCCCTCCTCTTCACTCATTACATCGTAATCCTCGCTTGCCCCGCCCACACACACATACGAATAGGACATCTTAACGAACGGGTCATTCCCCCAACGTGAACAGAGGACAGAGACCGGTTCCTGTACCGTCTGGTCTGGGAATAGAAACTTGAGAACGGAAATCGCCTCGTCTTTGATCTCAGTCTCGCTGAGTGTGTAATAAAGCTTGAGAGCTTCACCGCTAACTGTCATCATTAACATATACACAGGAGTAGGAGCAACTGGTCCTTCATTTTTAATTGAGGAGTCATTAATGGTAGGTGGAACTGGGGATATATCGTACAGGACGCTAAATAGGCCACGCTTCTCAGTCGATAGTGGTATATGACCAAATATATCGGCATTTCCAATTTTCTCCTTCCAAAAAGGAGTTTTAAAAGTTAGCGTAACCTAGAAAAAAAGACATGTTTTTAAACATATAGTGTAGCCTCTATATAACAGACACTTATAAAGTCTGTTTGTTATACAGAGGTGTCTTTTGTGTGGAGGTTATTTTATACAATATGGAATGTAATTGGTACACTAGGTGCCATCCATTAAATGGAGGTGCCCACTATAGAGAGTGCCCATTAAAAGAGGCTATACTGTGCATGTTCCTCATACTGTATATTGTGTTACCTTCTCCACGAGTCCAGCTCCAATTCTCTCGATTGCTTTTTGTTTAGCAGGTGACAAGGAAGGAGTGAACTTGATCGTCTTATCTTTAAGAATGGACAATGGAACGGTCACAATAACCTGTCAAATAAATAGATAAATAATAATAATAATAATATTCTCACCTTATCTGCAGTATATTCATTGCCATTCCTACACTTAACAATCACGGGATTATCCTCACTACTAGCATCAATATGGCACACTTGTGAATTAAGCAGCAACTGAGTCTCAACTGGTAACAGCTCACGGACCAATTGAGCTAGTCCTGACTGGACAAGAGCATGAGCTCCTCCAAACTGAGGGAAAGCATCATTATGATCCCAATGACAGGCAGAGACCTGAAGTTTAAAGAAATAAGAAACATAGTTATAACTTGCAAGAGAGGCTGGAGAAGTATCCCTTACTTCACTTAAATGAGCTCCACAAGCAAACTCAAGATTACTCAAGTGAAAATCAAAGAGTCCTCTCTCGTCCTAACACAACAAACACAGTCAACATAAAGTGGACTATAAGTTTGAGTGTACATGTACATGTATGTGTGTACAATGGACCAAATTGTGAGTGCACTGTACATGGTAGCACTGTAGCAGTGACTCCATTATAAGGACTCACTTGAGTATAAGTGTAGCCTTCCTCAGTGAGTAATTGAGAATGAAGCTCTGACAATTTATCTTAAAATGATAAAGACATTACATTATTATTATGCATCAAATAAATAACAGGAGAAAGAGAAGGGAGAAAGGAGGAGGAGGAAGGCCATCTTACTTTCTAAAGAGTCGTCAGTATAATTATTATTCTTATTCCTCCATTCAGCAAGGCGATCAAGAGATGCGTTGAACTGTTTCTCTACCCTCTTATCAACCTCTCCTTCAGCAAAGAGACCAGACCGCTCCAGTATCAGTTCACACTTGTCTTCTTTCACTAGGCGGATCGTGTAGCCCCGTTGCCTTGATAAAAGCGTCAATGGATTATTAATGACACCAGTGATAAACATGGCACCCTGTCCAACATTCTGACCAAAGATGTTAACGTCGTGTACACGCCCACCTATTCTATTTGATGCCTCCAGTATAGTGACCTAATATGACATCATGACATATGTCACGTGGCAGTCACATGACTTACTTGATAATCAAAATTAGCCAAGTGTCTAGCAGCAGAAAGACCTGAAGGACCTCCCCCAATTATTATAACTGATTGCTAGGAATAAATTAAATAAAAATACCTTATATACATGTACATGTAGTAGCTGATAACTTTTATGAATTTGATGTTTGCTGAAATTAAATTCCGCCATTTTGCATACTCAATACCACATGGCCTCAAATTTGTAAAATTAAAATCCACTATCAAAAATTTAGCCATTGACCAAAATTTTTACATCCAAAAACAACAGCAATATAGTACATGTGCATGCAAATAACGTACTTTATTAACTGAATGCATCGAAGCCAGTGGGCGTTCTATGGATAATAATCCACAATTAATGTAACCTCTTCTTGACAGAAAGTGGATAACTCGCTCGTATTGAGACGATATCCATATTCTAACAGTGCCACGTAATCTCACCAGGTCCATGCACCTGCTGGCCGTTACTAGCTGTGTATTGTTACTGTACCACAGTGAGAGAGCAATGTTTCGCATTATGAGGTATACATCAAGTGCTGGAGACCTGTGCAACAACATTAGTAATTATTAATCATAATTAATAATAATAATAATAATAACTAGGCGAATGTAAAACATTGAGGGGCGAGCAAAACGATTAACATTTCGATTAGCAATATACAATGTTTATATAGACAATGATGTAGTGGCTATTAAATGTTGAATGTCGATGTCAATACACTAATGCAGAATTTGCAAGCATGGAAGGAATTTCATAGTTTCTAGCTTTGAGTGAAGAATCTCTGCAGTTATATAGATCTAGGATGAAAGATGGTTGGTCTCAGAAGCCAGGAGACTCCATTTGTTGTCTTTGGGTGTGACAAGACCATCTCTAGCATTTCTCCGTATTTCACCTCCTCGCTCTTTTCTCCTCCTCACGCTCATTACGAAGAAGTCGACGAGCTTCACGAGCATCTTCTTGTGAATTACTCATGCTTTAAGCTTCAGCTTCTCTTGTTTTTTTTTGAATACTCTTGTCTCTTGAACTCCTCTCGTCCAGTGATTACTGAAGTTGCTCTTTGTTTTTGCACGTGGTACCGTAATTATCAAAATTATCATTTTAAAATGTGTGATTATTATTTTTTTTATAGCCGCATAAATAGAGGTGACGTACGTGTACAAACAAACAAACAGACATACTCGACTCGACTATGTGGGGCTCGCTTTTGCTCGCCCCAATAATATTGTAAAAATTAATGACTAGGAGAGCATTCTAATTATATTTTCTGATACATATACTACATGTTCTTATGTTGCCTGAAAAGTTTGAGTTCATTCAAATCATTTATGACTTTTTGAAGTTGCTCAAAAATTTTGCCCAAAATTACAAGGAGAGAGTTCTCCATTTTTATATTTTTTTCTGATGCATATACATGTTTTTATATTGTGCAGAAATTTTGAGCTGATTCAGATCAAGATTGAATTTTTTATGAATTTTTAAAGTTGCTCCAAAATCAGACCAAAAACCATGTACTATAGTACAGGGTCATCGGCCAAATTTTGCCCAAAATGACTAGAAGAGAAATCTCCATTTTTATATTTTTTTCTGGTGTATATACATGTTCTCATATTGTGCAGAAATTTTGAGCTGATTCAGATCAAGATTGGATTTTTTTATAAATTTTAAAAGTTGCTAAAAATTTGCAAAAATGAACCAAAAATCCCTCACTATTGACAAAACTTCATACAAAATCAGTTTTGCTCAAACTTTCTTAAGAACATAATTATAATGCTAGTACATACTTGCTCCACTCAGGAAAGGTCTTGGATTCACACGGCTCTAGAGTATCAGGAGTTAATGCCCCACCCCTTGGCCCCTCCTTCGGGTGATTAAAAGGATGCAACCAATCATAGGACGGAACAACAGTGTCTTCAACTTCCTCTTTCCCCTCCTCTTTCTTGAGGGCCTCTCCTTTAAAATAAAACAAATCATGTATTTTACTTATTTTTTTGATGTATTGGGAGTTTGTTTGTATGTTTTTCTATTAATAGTTAATGACATTATTAATTTATGTGTCACTTCAATTATTTTTGGCCCCTTTAAAAATAATTCACTAAATTAGCGAACAAATAAAAATCAAAAGTGGACTGCATGCAATACATGTTATACTGATAATACCATTAGCAATTCCGCCTCCACTTGTTGACGACTCTTCATGTTGTTGTTGTTGTTGTTGTTGTTGTTGTTGTTGTTTATTTCTTTGTATACAAACAGTGGTTGGGCTGATACCAACACCGTCAGGGTAATATTCAACTAGTAACGAGGCCAGTGGCTCACAATATCTCAGCAACGGACTGTAACTGATCGAATGGACCCACAACGGATCCATAGCCATCAGAGCAATCTAATTAATTTTATAATGGCCACAGTACCAATAAAGATAAAATAAACTCACTGGGTCTTCGTCAAGACTACAGTCACTACACTTGACTACGTCGAGTTTAACATGATGGAGTTCGATGTGGGCGGGGAGTTTACGCCAGTGACCACACCCCTCGTTAGTGCACTGGACCCATATAGGAAGCCACATGTCCGCCATGAACTGGCTGGCTCTCGGGGGAAGGGTATCTCCTGCTTCTCTCTCCCAAATTGAGGACCACTGCTCGTATAACTTATGACCAGGCTTGTGACTACACGAATAACAGAGTTTTAATTTACCGTATTTATTATTATTATTATTAAATTAATGCTATTACCGTAATTCATTTGTAAATTAATCTATTAATTGATTGTACCTCCTATAAAAGTGTTCAAAGCATTCGTTGCAGTAATGTTGACCAGCTGATAGATGGTACCATCTTGAAGTGTGACCATCTTTTGCACACCTTATAAAAGAAAGTGAGGAAGAGAGAAAACATTTTTAAAAATGTATTTATTTCATCACATTCCCTTGGCCCCTCAATAATTATCTACTAAACATTAACATCAAAAATGGTGTGTTTAGGGGCATGTCCCTGGGGTCAAAAGTCAATCGTACTTTTCCGTAGCGTGACAAAAACAAAATGGCGGAGGATCGCAGTACGTCATGAGACAAGACTTCCGGTCGCAGCCTTTGGAGGATCTTTTAGATGAAACCTCATCCAATGATACATCGCCTTGCTTCCTTTTCCTCTTACGGGGAGACGCCATTTAAAAACTGATGAAAGATGAAAATCGCTTCAGTAAATGAATGTGTCTTTCCTAATCGTAACACTCAATCGTGTCAATGGAGACCAGACAAGAGAAGTTGAGGAAGAGGAGGAGAGAATCAGATAATGAAGTATCTCTGGTCTTATGAGTGTAGTCTATTGGTCACGTGACCAATAGTTAAGTAGTTATTAACTTATTAAAATTATTTACAACACGCCGGCCACGCCTTGTAATTAAGATAATAGACTTAGTTCTCTCATTTTATATTATTTCTATAATAGTATGCTTGCGATACTTATTCTGTTTACCTATAATGAAGGAAAACAGACTAGGGACAAACATAATAGCTTATCCAGTCTGTGTTTAATCATAAACCTATGGTTTAATCGACTAGTCTTTTGCCGGACTGGATTACGGACGAAGGGCGACTTCTTCTAGACTATTACTGCTATAAGCCTAAATCAGAGACATGCTCCAAGCCCAAACACTTTTCTTGAGCTAATCTTTGCCAAGAAAAGAGTAAGACCTCATAGAGTGATTAAAATAATTTTAAAAATCATTTTCATTGTGGGCGCCGCTCGACAATCGTATCGTAGCAACAGTAACTTAGCAACAATTACTAGGCAACAGTTCCCTAGCAACTGTAACTTGGCAACAGTTACTAGGCAACAGTTTCCTAGCAACTGTAACTTAGCAACAGTTACTAGGCAACAGTTTCCCAGCAACTGTAACTTGGCAACAGTTTCCTAGCAACTGTAACTTAGCAACAGTTACTAGGCAACTGAAAATTAATTTTCCCGGCAAATTTTCCGGGAAATAATTTTTTTAGAAAAAATCATTTTGAAAGGATTTTAAAATTTAGAGAAAATATTTTTTGCAAAATTATTAATATAATTGTCCTGAATTTCCAGGAAAGTTTTAATTTAGAATTAAAAATCTTTTTTTACTATGTGGGCGGGGCGGAACAGTAACCTAGCAACTGTGTTCTAGCAACGGTAGCGTAGCAACAGTAACTAAGCAAAGGTAACCTAGCAACTGTAACTAAGCAACAGTAACTTAGCAACTGTAACTTAGCAACGATAACCTAGCAACTGTAGCTAGGCAACGATAGAATTGCGCGCCAATGCGCGGGCCTGCTGATCTATGGTTTGATAACAAAATGGTGGCGAATACAAAGCACTCCTTTGTGTCCATCTAACTTGTCTTGATATTATTTACAGCATAGATCGCTATCTTAAAGAATAATTAGCTGGGGATAATAAATGCGGCAAACACTAAGTTCCTGTATCCACAAAAAGAAAACTGACTACTAGTCACCACGTGGTTTCCGTATTCTTTTTGTATTCATGCTTTCAGCCGTCACATGACACGTGTTATACAAGCCATGGCAGGATTTGCAGAATGGTTGCTCTCTTTTCCAGTGGATCAGGTAAGAGCTTGCTTTGCAGGGAACCTTTACTTGCACCTTATAATTCCAGCTAAAATATCTCTTCCTTTTGACCCTCTCGCTTTTCCTTGGCTATGTATTCCGAGTGTTTCTCTCCTATCAAACCACGCCGCTGCATGTAAGATGGATCTATCATCTTGTCCTGGGCTTCTCTTTCTGCTTGTTCTGTTTCAACGTTTGGTGAGTCCATGCTGGTGATTGCAGCCTGATTATGTTGTTTGTTGTTTAGGGACACTCTGCTGGTTGTTTTCTTTGTAGGTGTGGCATATGTCCTTCTCCACACTCTGTCACTCAAGCATATTGTTTGGTGAGACTTTTTGCAATTGGAAAACTCAAATTATTTTTGTTGTTGTTTGTTTTAGGGCAATGATGGTTTATGCATTATCTTTCACGATATTTGTCCATTTCCTCTGCATGAAAAGAAGCTATGGTAGCTGGGACCTTAGTGTTACAGGGTAACAATAATTATTATCACAAGTAATAATTAATAATAATTTTTAGACCAATAATGATGATAGCACAGAGGATTACTTACGTTGCCTGTGAACTTTTTGATGGTAAAAAAATAATATTAAAAAAATATTTAATTATCTTTCACAGGTTTGGGAAGGCCTGATGGAGAGCTCAGCGAAGACCAACGGAGATTAAAAATAACGTAATAAGAGGAAGTTTTTGTTATTATTATTGCACTACTAGTAGTCTGAGATATTGGTGGCAATAGTAATTGGCATAGATGCCAAAAATTTGGAGATTTTACAGTGTGCCAATTGCACTCCAAAATAGCCTCCACATAAAGAACACCTTTGTACAAAAGACAAACTTTCTTATCTCAATGTCTTATGCTACTCTAATTTGTATCTCTTTTATATTATTTTTCTTTTTTAGTGAAAGACCGTCCATTCTCCAGTTCTTTAGTTATACGTTCAGTTTTGTTGGTATCCTAGCTGGTCCAGCTTGCTCTTATAAGGATTTTGCTAATTATATTTCTGGTGCAAATATGAAGCGACTTGATAATCCTAACCGCTATGCCAGGGTATTACAAAATAAAGAACTAAGTATAAAGAGAGAAAAGAGAAAGTTACAATGCAATGTTAAGAGTACATGTACTTTTGAATGATAATAGTGCTATGTGTATCAAATGAATGATGGTGTACGTGTATAGAACTTTTATGTTGTTCAATAGGCTAAAGAACACAATCATGATCCCTCTCCTGCTCTGCCAGTCATACTCAAAGCCACTCGTTCAATACTCTGTCTTGTATTGTATTTGGCTACAAGTTCAATTGTATCAAAAGATTCTTTACTGAGTAAGAGTGTACGATGTACTTGAACAATAGCAAGCAGTCTGTTACTGCACACTTGTACCTTGTAGTCTTTTGTTAGCGTCTTTTTGAAGAATGACCTGCCATGTTGTTTGCAGCTCTAGATTGGAAAAATAAATGAAACCAATAATGATTAGTAGTGATTTTTATGTTGTTAGGCTATGTACAGTAGTTTCATTTTAAAATTTATTTTAAAGTTGTTTTTTATTTATTTTATAGATGAGACAGGTCTTAGGAAGGTTATCCTGACATTTGTGCTGATGCATCACATTCGGTTGATGTATTACTTCACTTTCATTATATGTGAGAGAAGGAATATATACATAAATAAAAATTCTTTTTATATAGTATAATGGTGTTAAATAAAAAATTCACTGAAAATTGGGCTGACTTTGAAGCTATTTGTAGAAACGACATGACTTTTTCCAAAGATTTAAAAGAATGACCATAACTTGAAAAATTTTGGTCGAAATTACCTGAAACTTTTTAGATAGCATAAATACATCAATATGTATCAGAAAATGTAATAAAAATTGGGGGTGATTTTGGAGCCATTTTTTGGAAAAAACCATGGGCTATAGTCCATGGTTTTTCCCAAAAATTTGCTAATTTTTAAAAATGACCATAACTTGAAAAATTTTAGTCGAAATTGCCTAAAACTTTCTACATAGCATAAATACATCAATACATATCAGAAAATGTAATAAAAATTGGGGGTGATTTCGGAGCCATTTTTTGGAAAAAACCATGGGCTATAGTACAGGGATTTTTTCAGAATTTTGACGTTTTCTTAAAATGGCCGTAACTTGAAAAATTGAAGTCGGAATCAGCTCAAACTTTCTACACAGCATAAGGGCATCAATATGTATCAGAAAATGTAATAAAAATTGGGGGTGATTTCGGAGCTATTTTTTGGAAAAAACCATGGGCTATAGTCTATGGTTTTTCCCGAAAATTTGCTAATTTTTAAAAATGGCCATAACTTGAAAAATTTTAGTCAAAATTGCCTGAAACTTTTTAGATAGCATAAGTGCATCAATATTTATCAGTAAATGTAATAAAAATTGGGGGTGATTTTGGAGCCATTTTTTGGAAAAAACCATGGGCTATTATAGTCCATGGTTTTTCCTGAAAATTTTTAAAATGACCATAACTTAAAAAATTTTAGTCAAAATTGCCTGAAACTTTCTACATAGCATAAGTACATGAATATGTATTAGAAAATTTAATAAAAGTTGGGAACTTTAGTGCCAGAAAAAGGTACGTGCTTAATATATTTATTCTATTTATAGGTGAAGCTTCATGCAACATTAGTGGGTTAGGATTCACTGGATATGATGATAAAGGAGAGGCCCAATGGGACATGGTCCAGGGAATGAGTGTACTCAGTGTAGAATTTCCAGTCAATTTAAGAGAAATGATTGCCAGCTGGAACATGATGACAGTACAATGGCTGAGAAGGTAATGGAATGGCTGTCCCTCCTTCCATCTTTTTAATTTTTTAATTTGTTTTGGCAATAACTCTGCTTTTTTCGGTTTCACGTTTGTCATTTTAATACTGTTAGTTTTCAATTTCTACTCATCAAAATAAGCATATTATGTTTATTGTGCATTAAATATATTGGATTCCCATATTCCCATTCTTCCTCCTGTAGATGTGTTTTTGAGAGATCTCAATTCAATCCGGCTCTATTGACATTCATTGTATCCTCACTGTGGCACGGGGTCTATCCTGGCTACCACATAACATTCTTCATTTTCTACTGTGGCAAAACTGCAGCAACAAAAGTATACATGTACATTAATAGAGTAATCATTGGCAAGAGTGGATCATTTGTATCAGGGCTGGAGTGAATATTACGCGTATTATCACTATTGACACTTCTGAGGGATATTTTGTCTATTCAGTAATAATTATAAGTAAAGAATATTTTTAAATTGGAGATACAACAATGCTTAATGTGACGTTAAAAGAGAGAGGGGGAGAGTTTATTTTGCCTCAAGTAGAAGACAAGTGTCATTAGCATTAATATGTGGGATGTTGATTTACATAGTACATGTGCATATTTGTTAAGATTATACTCATTGACTAGTGTAGGAGTCTGTGAAATGTCCCTATAGTATTCTTTACTGACTAGTCAGTTTACACTGATACTACATTTACCTTTATATGGAATGAGAAAAATGTTCATATACTTGTATATGTATGTACATGTACTGTATATATGTGGGCCATTGCCAATTTGATCCTTTTTAGGATCAAATTGATGCGGTTAGGCTCACACGATCTCATGTATGATCAAGCTGTATATCAACACTTACTCAATATTTATATTAGTGACCATATAAGGAATCGTATACCGAGCAATGTGTTGTTTGTCTATTGTTCTCATTACATTGATATACTCACTGTCTATACAGTGTATAAACATTGTATACACATACTATTATTCCCTAGAGATGGTGTATGTCACATCATGATGTAAGTTATGATTGGGGCCATCGCTAGACAGTGACCAGTGGTGACTGAAGATTTTCTAATGTACATGTGTATATAACGGCATTTCTGTCTGTAGTATTCTATAGTGTAGCTGTGTGTCATTAGTTTAGTGTTGATTGATGTTAGTCTGGCTAGTCTATTGACTGGACTCATGGCTAAATCATCAATAACAGTATAGTAATGGTAGCATGAGTGCTTAATGCTTAAAGGCATTATGTATTACTAGTAGGTACTTCTTAATTATGAGCATTCCCTACCTGGTATAATTCCCCCATATTACAGCATCCTGTCATACTGTTTATGTTGTTTTCGAACATTCTTAGTAATTCTCAACTTGTCTCAACAAACATGCTGCTACAAATACATTTGATAATATTAACAATAAATACGTATACAATATCAGAAACAACTTGTAAAGGGATTTATTAAAACTAGAATTTACTAGCTGTTAATATTGCTTTTAGGTACGTAAGAATTTCCGTCATTATTTTCAAGGCTCGCCGTCATTGAAAGTGTTTTACGATATTTTAACTACGGTATCAACTTGCATCATGAGAGATGTAACAGTGATCCCGTTCGTTTACTTAACAACTGAAGAGTTTGTGAAAGGATGGAGGTACATGTACATGCACATTGGTACTATCCACATTAATTTATGTCATGTTTGTACTAAACCTCTTTATTAACAAAGGATACGATTGGTCTACATTACCTATTAGAGGTATCCTTATTTTAAAGGTACTTTGTATAGGTTTGTACCAATTGGGACATTACAAAATGTCCTCATTATAAAGGTGTCCTTATTATTATTATTATTAAAGCATTAGGTGTGTAAGGTGTAATAAATATTTGTAACATTCCTTGGAATTAGTTTTATTGGCACCTTACACTACTAGGAATGCATGCATGTGTGTGTGTGTGCATTAAAATTATATTTATTAATACATTTTGTTCTTTATTTCGTAGTAATGTATTTTTCATTCCAATACTCATCTGTTTTCTTCTTCTTCTTCTTCCTAACAAATCTCGAGGGATAAATTCCAAATCTCACAAGGAATAGTCACCACACACTATCATCATCCACTGACCAGCAAGACTATATACCTATTGCTACCTTTATCATTATTTTTGTTATTTTTTTCCATCATATGCACATTCTTTGCTATCATAGAACAGTTAGTAAATATAAATATCACTATACTAACTAATTTTTTGTGTATAATACTTTATCTATATCATATGTTATGTGTCCACTATTATTACTATCATTATTATAGTTTTTTGTTATTGATTGATCTTAGAGACCACAAAGATAATGATGAAATGTTCTATTTTTAACCCTTTAGCTTCAAAGCCTGATAGAATAATAATGCTCTTAGCAATAATTTTCTTCTCTATTTTATGTGTCGTAATCTCATGTTATTTTTTTATCACTAGCAACAAGAATGGCCTTTCATTTAAAAGTGGTGAGAACACACTTCTAGTCATTGCCCATCCGGATGATGAGTCCATGTTTTTTGCCCCCACCATCCTTCACTGTACATCTATAAAAGGTCACAGATTAGCCCTACTATGTCTCTCTATAGGTAGGATTGTTGTATCCTTATTTGGTCATGTAATGTGCATTAGGTGATTATTACGGTAAAGGGGAAGAAAGGAAGGAAGAGCTACTCACTGCTTGTAATGTACTTGGAATCAGTTCAGAGTCCGTCGTACTAATTAATGACAAGTTAGTCTAATTATAAATTATTATCTACTTTCAATTGATTACTAATAGTAATTGTAACATCCTTTGATATAAATCTCTGCCAAGTGGCAAATAAAAGCCTGTCTTAATTAGAAGCCTGAGGTGCTACATTGCGTACATGCATTAATGAAATAGTATATGCCTATATAAAGAAAGGAACCCTCAAATAAAAGCCTGTGTACAAATTGAAGATATCAATAAAAGCCCGGGGTTGAGGCTTTGATCTATATTTAAGAATACAGTTTTTGCTGTAGTTTTATTACCAGTGCTATCTAAAATGTGCAAATAAAGTGTTAGGTTATGAGCACACTACAAGTGAGAATGAAAATAGTCGGAGACCTCCTTAGCACTATAAAAACCTTCTTATCACTATTGGCGGGGCACGCAGGTGTATATTATACTGTAGATCAAGTGGTTACAGCTGTTGTTGGAAGGTCCGTATGTAAACAAATTAATACTTAAGTGTCTTTGTTTGAAAGTTAAAACTTCAGCTGGACTATGTTATGGAAGGAGGATATTTGTAACTAATTTCAGCTGTATTAAATACCAATTTACTTCCTTTCAATTCTTAGAAATAACAAATAACATGTTTATTTATTGCTACGGCTCATTGTCATAAGCATACTGAAAGCTTCTTGTTGTTTATCATCATTGACTAATAATGCAGCATTAGCCGGTAATACAAATGCATCTACTAGCTCTGTAACCTCTTCTTAGAGGTACTTTTGTATAGGTTTATACCAATTGGGACATTTAAAATGTCCTCATTATAAAGGTGCCCTCGTTATAAAGGTCGTCTTAGTTCTTGTTATATATTGTTGTCCTTATCTCAGGATGTCCTTATTGACTTATTTAATATTATTTAATATTATAATGCATGTTATGAGTGTAATATGAGTTGTATGATTTCCTTTATCTTATTTGTACTGTCACCAGCACATTTCCTTTTTTGTACTGTCAACATTGTCGTGATAGGGATCTACCCGATAATCCCAATGGGGTGTGGTCAAGTAAAATCATTGGAAGACACATTGTTAGAGCACTGAGTCAATACGATATTCATAGGGTAATGAATAATATACTTTCCATTACTGGGAATGTGTTGAGTCAGGTTTATTATTATTATTTATAGTTGATTACTTTTGATGAGAGAGGTGTATCGGGGCATAGTAATCACATTGATATTCACAAAGCAGTGAAGTTAGTAACAATAATGACAATACTATTGATAATCCTTCACTTTCAATTCTTCTATTTACTATAACCGACCCATCTCTCACATCAGGGCACTTGTTGCCAATGGTGCTTTGTCTGGTAGGCGTTTGTAACCTAACTGTCACAACTATGAAAGCTTTTCATGTTTTTGTTTATGCATTCTAGGCAAAGAAGTCTTATATCTTCAAACGGTCAATGTAGTTATGAAATACCTCTCATTCCTATCGGCCGTTTTAATGTCCAAGTAATGTAACACATGAACTTTATGGTAATACAAGATTGAGCGTACACATATGTATCTTGTTATTCTATTAACGAGTGTTGATATTTATATTTGAGGATTCACTTTCATGTATGATTCATACTGTAATGAGCATACCACAGAAGTGATGAAGGGTGAAAAGGGAGAGATATTGAAGCTTAGGTCACACGCATGCATGTATGGTCATGTCACTCACACCATACGGTATCTGATGATCACACATAAAGGAATTGATGTTAATTTTAGAGCTACATTACACTATTTAAATACACACGGTCTTCAATATGCAAACAGAGACACATCCTGTATATATACACACACATACCCCGTAGCATTTATATACACTCTACTTTTTATGCATCGTGTACTGTGTGAATGTATATTATTCAAAGAAAACACACACACTTGTGCTTCAGAATTGCCACAAACATGCTCTCCTTTTTTGCATTTGCCAAACACGGAATGACTATTGACCTCTTTTGTCCTTATACAGCCAAAGATGTGCTTGCATTTCCTCAGTAAACAGATGGTGCTTAGCAATGGTAAGTATGTGTTTATTGGAGCTTATCCTCTTCTCTTTATAGACTGCATTGGGTAAACACTCAAGCCAAATGAACTGGTATAGAGAGCTCTATAAGGTGTTTTCTACTTATTTAATAATTAATATATTTTCTTTAAAAAGACACTGAACTCAACAATGTAATAATAATCATAATAATAATGATAATAATAATCAATGAAAATAATAATAATAATAATAATACACGTATCATTCTAACTTAAACACATCAAAAATCATGAAATTAAATCAGACAAAAAAAAACGACAAACAACAATAATGAAAATTATTAATTATGATAGCACTGTAAATAAAAGATATGATTAGAGACAGAGAGAGAGAGAGAAAGGAGGAGGGAAGAGGATCGAGTAGGAGAGAGAGGTTACATATAGAGAGGTGTAGTGTCACTAGTACTTAGTCTGCTACTTCGCCAGCAACATCATCTGGTGCCAAGTACAAGGGATTGTTATGTGACTCACTAAAGAAAAGAGAATATAAATACAGATTGATACAAAAACAAGTTACAATAAAAGAGAAAGATGCTCAAGTACAAACAATGCTAAAGCTATTAGACACATTTTGTGAATATATGATGGAATATGCCTTACCCATTAGCAAAAGGCGATTTTGGCTTAGCTTTGGTGACAGCAGCTCCTCCTCCAACTGCAACGTAATATATAACATAAGCAACAACTGCTGCCAATGTTAGCAATAGTAATATACCAAGTATTGTACCAATGATGACTCCTGTATAGAAAATACACATTAATTATAATAATAGTAATGTAGCAGGCATCATTTGTTTATTGGGATGCAAGTAACAATAGCTGAGGCTGTCATTCGATCACATATAAAGCACAGATCATGAATATATTATAATGATACTGATACTCACCAATTAACGTCCCACTACTAAACCCTGTTGTTTCTGAGGGTCTTTCTGGAGTGCTGGTAGGCTCTGGGGGTTTAACTGAGCTAGACATAACTAGAGGAAAAGAACAAAAAGTTGTAAAAGGCAGTACACAGTATATATAATGGGTATATACATATAATAGGAGCTTTGTACTGATTGTTATATTGTTACTTACTTTCACATCCACAGTCATTAACCTCATATCCAGATTCACAGGTCATACAACATCTAGTAGGTGGCCGACACCTCAAGCAGTTAGGCAAATCACAAGGTCCTACAACAAACATTGAGATTCAATATTATAGATAATTATAAGAGTAACTATAGTCTATAGTACATAATTATAGTCTGTATTTCTTACCACAGGTACATCCATTAGTCAGATAGAAGTCAGTTGAACAGGTTTTACAACAAGATGAGTTTTGACAACTAGCACAGTTTGAAATGGTACATACTGGTGTGGGAGTTGATGAGGGAGAGGGTGAGGGAGTTGATGATGGAACAGGAGTGGAAGATGGAGTAGGGGAAGGAGTGGAAGAGGGCATCACTGTAATAAAGAAAAGGTAAAAAATAAAATAATATAATGGTGTTAAGATATAGTGGAATGAGGAAAAAGGGAGAGAGGGGGAGAAGGAGACATAGTGAGCTATGAAATATCTCATGGTGTGTGTGTGTGTTCAGTGTGAAGTCAATGGATCACATGATTTAAACAACACAGTGACATTCCATTGACCTTAAAAGGTAATGACCAGTTAACAATATAACTCACCAGTACAGTTGACTCCTTCATGTCCAGTACCAGTACAATCACAAGTGTAATTATCAGCAGGTGAATTCTGTATACACCGCCCTCCATTCATACACGGATTGGATGCATTACAGATACTAACGAGATCACAGTCAGTACAATTAGAATTAACAGTAAAACCATTAGGACAGGTTAAATTACAACCTAATATAATCAAGTATAATAATAATAGTAATAAAATTTTAATAATACTTACTGCAAGTGAAGTTATTACTCTCAGTAGCAACATAGTTAGGACCTGATGATGTACAGTCAGTGCTACCATCACACTGACCATTACGAGTAAATGATAAACAACAATCACCAGAGCCTGATCCAGTACACCTCATCAGTCCAGAACTACAAGCAGAGTCACATTCTAAATAAAATGAACAATTATTTTTAATATAATTGGCTTACCTCTACATCTTGTATTACCACCAAAACCATCCCGACACCGATAACAATTGGTTCTCGGAGGAACACCAATTATGTCATTAGCAGGAGCCTCTACACTACCAGTCCTTCCACTCCATGTACCACTGTTACATTCAATATCAAATATTCTAGTTCGTTCAGCTTCTCCTGGGTTACGAGTGAATGTAGCTATAAGAGAGATTCCTTCATAAGTATCAATCATGCTTCCTTGAGCTAGACAGACATATTGAACTGATCCTTCAGTGATATTAGGAGAGAACACCTCGTTACCATCACTAGTAGGTATTATCGGACCTAATGCAGCCTCTATCTCAGCTATGGTTGGTAGACGACAGTCTTGAGCTGATACTAAAAGAGCCGATGAGTAGATAAAGATACAAACAACGAGAAAACACAGTCGAGCCATTTTAGAAAGGCACTGTTTCAGTTAATAGTGGGACGACAAGATAAGGACGAGCTTTCTTCTTTCTCAATTCGTTCTTTCTCCTCTCGCCATACACAAATAGAACTAACCACTTCCTGTATAAACACGTCAGAATTAGAATTGCATCATAGCAGACGTCATAGCATTCTTTTGCATAAAATTTGTTTCAAATTTCATATAATTTTGGAGTTTGTGAAAAGCCATTGACTGAATTTGACTCTGAAAATGATATTTAAAATTCCATTTTTAAATCAGAAAGGTGCAAAAACATCAATTTTTTACATCATGACATCATAATAAAACTCTCTGCAATAAATAGTATTAGTAATAATTTATTAATTATATAACACATAAGAAGTCACTTGATGCTCATGAAGGAGATATAGACAATGTAACTTCTTCTGGCGAGACATATAATGGATTATTGTGTAAACGACTAATGGAGAAGACATTTTAAAATGAGATTATAAATGTGATATACTTACGCATTAGCTGCTGGAGGTATTGAAATAGTTTTGTTCATGCGAGTCCTTGCACCTCCAGAAGCAAAATAAATAATTGTATAGAGTAGGACAGAAATGAATATCAGGATGCAAAGAACCAGAATCAGTGCAACAAAAAAAAGTACTACATTAAAAAAATATTAAAAATTAATAAAATGATAAATGCAATTAACAATAGATTCTACAAAATAAGATGGCTATTTCTGTATAGCAGGAAATTTTTATTACTCGAAAATTTCATTGTCAATCAAAACAGGTCAATTTATTGATTGAGTAACATTCACCTTGTCACACCCATTTGGTTTGTCTAAAATTTTTGGCTAACAAAACAAACAAAAAGTTAGCACTCAACAAAAATTTCCTGCCATACAATATCAAAATTTAGTAGTGCTTTAAAAAACAATAATATATGTAGCCATTATCGTAAAGTATTCAATCAAAGCTGATATCCTTTTTTATTTACATAATTGACAGTATAAATACATCAATTATCAAACCACTAACAGCCCATAGACTATAAAAATATATCACATAATAATTACTACTCAACCACTGAACCACATGCAAACATAAATCACTACACTACTCATACCAACATCTGCCAGCATATAATAATACCATGCTATGTATGTGTGACTATATTGGATATCATATCCTAACCTATCCAAGTTCTTGTCTTAGCATTCTCAGTTGGAGAAATGGCAGCTCCAGTTGGCAAAAGTTGATTAACCGTACTAGACGCATCTAAAGTAAATTTTAGAGTAATTAAGTGAAATTTGGAGTAATTAGGTGCATGCTTTGTTTACTTACATGTTTTGCATTGACAATCACTACATAGCTCAAATCCTTCTTCACATTCCATGCAACAACTTGAATTAAGTGAATGACACCTCGAACAATTTGACACTGTACAACGTCCTATTTGTAACAGATAATAATTATATATAGGAGGCTTTCTCTTTTAAGTCTTACCACAGGTACAGTCGTCAGGATTCAAATAGTAACCTAATGAGCATGTCTTACAACAATTTGAAGTTTTACAGGTGTCACAGTTTTGACCACAAGGTGCAAAGGTTTCTGAAGGAATAGAAGGAGCAAGAGAGGGAGAGGGAGAGGTTATTGCAATGGGAGTCAAGGATGAGGGACTAGGAATGAGACCTATAATGAAAAATATTTAAAACATGCAAGTGTAAAAACAAAGCTTCATGCAAGTGTAACTCACTAGCACAGTTCACTCCTCCATGTCGTGTACCAGTACAATCACAAGTATAATTATCAGCAGGTGAATACTGTATACATTGTCCTCCATTCTCACACGGACTCTCTGCATCACAGATATTGAGATCACAGTCAGTACAATCAGAATTAACAGTAAAACCATCAGGACAGGTTAAATTGCATGCTATGTAAGTATATGAAATTTAGTTATTCAATAATGATAATACTTACTGCAGATAAATCCTGTACTAGCTGTAGCAACATAGTTTGGGCCATCACTCTCACAACTGTAATCACAAAAGCCACTGGCAGTAAACACTGAACAGCAGCTATGTCTAGAAGTGCATCTTCTTAGTCCATAATCACAATATGGACACTCTATTATCATTATTATTATATTAATTTAATTACATATATTTTATCAGTTTACCTCTGCATTGATCATCACCAAACCCATACCTACAGACAATACAATCAGTTCTTGGAGGAGCACCAACAAGATTAGGAGAAGGATTGTGTAGTCCATCAGTAGCAGACTCACTCCATGTACCACTAGTACTGATACAATACATTAGAAATAACTTAGTTTGTTCAGCTTCTCCTGAGTTAGGAGTGAATGTAGCTATAAGAGAGATTGACCTGTAAGTATCAATCATATCCCCTTGAGACAGACAGACATATCGAACTGGTCCTGTTATATTAGGAGAGAATGGCCCAAAACCTTGAGCATTTATCAATAAAGGACTCAATGCAGTCTCTATCTCAGTTTTGTTTGGTAGAGGACAGTCTTGAGCTGATACCAGTCGAGTTGTTGAGTAAAGGAGAATATGAAGAGCAGCTACTGGGTAGAGGTAAAGCATGATTAGCCTGTGAAGGTCTAAGGCTCAAATCTCTTTTAAATATCATACTCCCTTGTTCCTTTGATGTTTTTAATAACTAGCTACAGCTAGCTCTAATTTTAATATTTAAAAATTGCAATTATCTTTGGTAGGGAAAAGTGCATTAAAACTGACAAAACTCAAAACTATAAATACATACACAATGTAATTAAGTAGTATAAAGTAAAAGATTGTCCTATTTTAGTGTAGACACTATTCTTTTTCCATATTATCAATATCATCTTGGCTCATGTACAGCGGATTTTCATTAATTCTTTGACTAGAAAACAAATGAAAATTTTTATTGCTAATATTCCTTTTTCTTACTTTGCCAAGTGATCTTTCTTAATTGCTTTTGCATGAGTTTTATTGTGATTATAGGAGGTAGTGCAGCGTACAATTCCCATTACAATAATGACCACACAGACAAATATCACAAGTCCACCAATAACACTACCAATGATGATCCCTGTACAAAATAACTTATAAATTCAAGTCTTAAAAATATAAGTCTATAATGCTTTTGTTCCTATCTTACCGAGTGCATCCATTACTTACATATCAGTATGTTATTAGGTAGATCTGATGAAATGCATTCGCCAGAAGACGACACTTCATATTCATCCTCACATCTGACGCATTCAGCAAAGCTCTCAGCACACACAAGACAGTTCTTACTACACTCAACTAAACCAAAAATGAAAAGACATTGTCATAAATGTTATATATTACTATTATATTTTAGCAGTTATTATTTTACTTACCACACTGGTCATTTCTTAGTCCATATCCATCAGAACAGATAGTACAGTTTGATGCACTAGACCAATGGTTACTGCACTGACAGGTGAATGAACCAGGTTGGCCAATGCACGTTCCATTATTAGCACATGGAGTTGTGTGACAGAGGTCTTTTAATTCACACCCTTTACATATAAATAAAAGTGAGTAATTTAAAACTGTTTAGTGTTTATGCAGAATTTTAAATACCTACCAGTTTCATCTATAACATATCCCTCCATACATGACTCACAGATTGGTGGTATACCACTACAACGATCACAGTTCTCAATGGTACAGTCCTGACAATGTGGACCAGACCATCCTTCGTGACACTGGCACATGTACTCAGTTCTGTTGCTACTGCAAGTACCATATAAGCCACAAGGTTCCAATGACATGCATGGATCAATGACTGTTTGACAACTATTACCAGTGTACCATGCTGGACACATGCAACCCGTACAATCTGTTGTTGCATTGCCTGAATTCTGACAGCTCAGTGAACAAACTAAAAATTAAAATTGGTAATAATATTAATAAGTCTAATCTTAATTTTCAATGCTTATACCAGAACAGTTGTTTCCTTCATAGTTACCAGCGCAGTTACACATATATCCTCCGTTGTTAAAGCTGGTACAGCTACCTCCATTCTTGCAAGGATTGTTAGCAATACAAATATTACTCAATACACAACCAGTGCAGTCGCTGTTGGGAACATACCCCTGGGGGCATTGAGGTGAGCAAACTGTAAAATAAAGAAAAATTATTAAAATTATTAAAATTAATATACTAGAGCAATTAGTTCCAGTATATGAACCAGCACAGTGACAACTGTAGTTGGTAGCTGGCAAATACTGCATGCACTGTCCTCCATTTATACATGGAGTGTCTCTATCACAGATACTAGTAAAATCGCAGTTGGTACAGTCAGAATTAACAGTATAACCATCAGAACAGGTTAAACTGCAATCTAATAATTAAACAAAATGCTAGTTAACACATGCAGCTGCTGTTTTGACCATAAACTTAAAATTTTACTAATAATCTATATACCTGAGCAATTGTATCCAGTATATGAACCAGTACAATCACAAGTATAATTGGTAGCTGGCGAATACTGTATACACTGCCCTCCATTTATACATGGAGTGTCTCTATCACAGATACTAGTGAAATTGCAGTTGGTACAATCAGAACTAACAGTATAACCATCAGAGCAGGTTAAACTGCAATCTAATAATTAAACAAAATGCTATATAATAAAGAATGCCTATTCAGTTAATACAGCTGCTGTTTTGACCATAAACTTAAAATTTTACTTATAATTTATATACCTGAGCAATTGTATCCAGTATATGAGCCAGTACAATCACAACTATAATTGGTAGCTGGCGAATACTGTATACACTGTCCTCCATTCATACATGGACTGTATGCATCACAGATACTAGAGAGATCACAGTCAGTACAATTAGAATTAGCAGCATAACCAGCAGAGCATGTTAAGTTGCAAGCTAATGATGAATATGAAATTAAAATACATAGATAATAATATTAAACATACTGCAAGTGAAGTTATTACTCGGAGTAGCAACATAGTTAGGACCTGATGATGTACAGTCAGTGCTATCATCACACTGACCACTATCAGTAAATGATAAACAACAATCACCAGAGCCTGATCCAGTACACCTCCTCAGTCCAGAATTACAAGCACTGTCACAAGCTAAATGAGATGAACAATTATTTTAACTATAATTGGCTTACCTCTACATCTAGTATCACCTCCAAAACCTTCCCTACACCGATAACAATTGGTTTTTGGAGGAACACCAACAACACTGGCAGGAGGAGGATCTAAACTACCAGTCCTTCCACTCCATGTACCACTGTTACACTCAATATCAAATATCCTAGTTCGTTCAGGTTCTCCTGGGTTAGGAGTGAATGTAGCTATAAGAGCTATGGCTTTATAAGTATCAATCATGTCCCCTTGAGCTAGACAGACATATTGAACTGATCCTTCAGTTACATTAGGAGAGTACACCTGGCTACCATCAGAAATGACTAGTAAAGGAGGCAATACAGACTCTAACTGAGCTATGGTTGGTAGAGAACAGTCTTGAGCAAAGGCAAGTGTTACAAGAGCTAAAGCTACAATAAGTTGCTTCATTTCTTCTTGTCAACAAAGAGCACACACACATTCAAAATTTGCAGGATCAAATGTATTCACGCCAGCTCCACCCAAATAACAATCCACAAAACATGAATTAATTTTTAGAACATGCATTTTGATAACATGCAAAACATGAATAATGACAACACCAGAAGAATACTCTCATAATCAATTTTGGTGAGATTTGGTCAAAATCTTATATTTTTAGTAACTTTGAAAATTCGTAAAAAAATTAATTTTCATTGTAATTGACTCAAACTTTCTACACAACATAATTAACATAAAACTTGTATTATGTATTTAAAATGCATTAACACAATATGTGCTATAAATGAACCAAGCTTTGCAATTGATAAATTATATTAAAAATAAAATTAAATACAAATTGGACTATAATAAATTAAGGACTCGTCTCTATAATGTGTACATGAGTAAATACTTTAAGACTGGACAAGTGGCGGGTAAGAGCCTGATGCTATAAGACCCGGGGTTATATACACTGGGTTTTCCGTCACTTTATCACTATAAAAATGAAATAAAAATAGTATAATAAAAATATTAAATGCAATTTAGTATATATTTTTCCTTACCCATCCCAAACGTCAGTCACAGTTGCTGTATTGAGTGTATCTTTATGACGCTTGTATCTCTTATATAAAGCAGCTGCTAATATTATAGCAGATACAAGTAGCAATGTAACAATCACTGACAGAACTATTACTAATAAAGAAACATAGTAATAATGATAATAAATAATGTTTGAACTTACTTAGTATCAAAACAACATTAGCTCCACTTCCATCATCAACGGATCCAATGGTTGTAGGGACACAATAATCAAATCCACAGTTTTGACAATGATCTCCTTGCCATCCGTTAAAACACTCACAGAAAGGCAGTGAAGTATCATCATCAATGATACAGGTCCCTCCATTGAGACAGGGAGGATCACAAGGATTGAATACTTCTTCACAGTTTGTCCCAGTGTAGCCAGGAGGACAGATACAGGTATAGTCATCTATTGTGTCATTGCATGTCCCTCCATTGAGACATGGAGCCAACAGATCACAAGGACTGGTTTCATTCTCACAGTCTATCCCAGTGTAGCCAGGAGGACAGATGCACGAGTAGTTTCCAGCTGGTGACTTAATGCATGTCCCTCCATTCTGACAAGGCGAGTTTTCATCACACTCATTGATTTCCTCTTCACACTTGCTTCCCTCATAGCCAGTCAAACTGCAGTTACAGTATGTCTCGGTGCCATCGTTCACACACACTCCTCCATTTAAGCAATCGCATTCCTCTGTTTCACAGAATGTCCCGTTGAATCCCTCAGGACACACACAAGGCTCTCCCTCAAAGGTGTAGTTGCCTCCATTCAAACAAGGACTCTCTTCACAAGTGCTACCTTGATATCCTCTGGTGCAGTTGCATGTCATGTTGCCGTACGAGTCAAATGTACATGTACCATTATTGCTACACTCAAGAGAACACACTCTTATCTCACACTGGGTGAAGGTATAGCCCTCTGGGCAGACACAGGCTGTGCAGTTGCTGTTGGGACTACCACCATTGTCACATTCCAATGAGCAATCTATAGAATGTATTTAGCATTAAATAGTGCAAATATTAGTAGTTAACGTACTACTTGAGCACTGGTTCCCTTCGTTGCAGTCTTGTGTGCAAACACCATTAGAGTCAAAATAAGGACAGCAGCTTCCTTCGCTGGGACTCTTGCAGTGACCCCCTCCCCAGCCATGACAGACTACGTTGCATTCTACAGCAACAACAGAGTTGTAAAATCAATGTTGATGATACAGGAAAGTGTTCTCAGTTGATTTGTGAACAAGTTAGATGTGCATGATATAAGTGTTACAAGAACTATAGCACTAACCTTGACAGTGTGTTTCTGCATCGTACACTGTACTAGTCGGCTTCTTCTTCTTTTTCTCTGGACCACTTGACCCAAGACATTTATAGCAATCGTACCTCGTCTGCAAGTCAAAGAGTGAGGTATTGCTGGTTAGTTCTTTAGACTCCAGGTCCCATCTGCCCGACTCTCTTTCTTTATGGCACTCAAGTTCGAAATGATTAGTAACGTTCTCCCCATTGGTTGAGTTATAAGTGATCAATATTGATGCTGATTGATACAGATTGCGCCCTCTTACTGCAAGACATGTGAAATGAGTCCTCTGTATTGTACTAGCATTGATATTCAGCACTCTTTGTATGTCTTCACGACTTGGTTGGGCACAGTAGCTCATCATCATTGGCTTTGAAGCGACTAGAGCCATTCCTTGAAGGAATAGCATGAAAAGTAGAGAGAGTTTCATTATTATGATATAACTGAAAATTACCAGAAACTGAAAATAGCTATCAACCAATTTTACCTTGCTTTTATACCCAGAAAAAATTAATTATTGATTCAGCTACTAGTTATTAACTAATCAAATATTCATAGATATCAGTCAGTTATTAAATAATTAAAATATTCATAACTTTATAACTATTAATAACTAACTATTAATAAAAACCGGCTAATTGCTGTGGAATGTTGTTACTACGGAATGCAGAGGTGTGTTATTTTGTGGTTTGCACAGTTATTTTATTTGTCATAGCAACAGCTAGCGGTGTGTGAGTCCCATTGTACTATGAGTATTTTATCATGATGTCAATTCATGTTTACATTGATGTTGTTTATTTATTTTTATGTGGACGGCCTCTCACTCAGAGGTTTCATCTCCTTTGGGAATGATAGTCCACAATATCTTGTCGCATACAAATCGAACACGAGAGACACAACAGATAGATACATGAATCCCAGGTTGCATTAAAGTGATACACGAGAAAAGAAGAGCTCGTTCTTCCAAGAGGCAATCAATAGATAAACACACTTACATGTGCCTACATTTGCATGTGATATAAGCGTGTGTGTGTGTGTGTGTTTATACATACAGCAAACGTGTGGGACTGCTCTCTCTAATCCTCCTTAATCTCATTAGAGGTTTTGCAGCTCATTGGCTGTAATCTAATCGTTTCCCAGTTCTAACGGCCTCTCCTCATCAGGGCTCTATAGAGCCATATGCCGCTTTGATAATAATTGCTGCCAATCAATTGCTTCTAGGCAGACACTTAGATGGTCACGTTCAACGCATTTTTGTGCATTAGTCTAACCATTACAAACTCAATCAGTTACTTGTGTGCACATAGAATACATAGGAATGAGTAATTTGATACACCTTGCTTCCCTTTGCTGCTGCAGTTTGCTAGACTGGAGATGCATTAGCTATACATTATGTCATTGTGGCTATATGCAAGTGTAAGTGGTTGTAAACGCTTACAATAATTCTCAATGAGTTTTCAATTGGAAATTATATTTATAATAATAAAACACTCAATGAAACAAAAGAATGCATGTTAATACTTACAAAAATAATTTCTAATAATAATAATAATATACTTGTGTTCAACACAGCCATCATCATACTGACGTACACTATAATTATAAAATAATATAACACAGGAAAGATATAAAAAAAGTTGAGCTGTTGTTAATATTATAAATGAAAGGTAGATATTATACACATATTGATAATAATGTTTGGTGCTATGGGGTTTATCATACAAAACTATTCTTAAATGAGAGACTTGGGCAGATTGAAGGAAGGTCTTCATATCCAAAGAAAAAAGAAAAAAACAAAAATTCTAAAATATTATATAGTACACGGATCCTAAGTGATGTATATTACTTAAGAGTGTAAAAATGAAGATACAGCCGGTGGGGAAGGAGGGGAGATTCTTTATTTAAAAATATGTCGGAGAGAGGAGTGGACTCCCTGAGGTGCTGCCTTTTGAGAGTCGCTCAATTTTATTGACAATGTGCTTGGCGTATGTGAATTTCCTGAGTGTGGGGAGGTGGGGGCGAAGGCGGTAGATTAGCATCTTTCGTTGGCTTGGCTCAGCAATGTCCAACATCTTTTGAACAACGTAGTTAGCAAACTGATCCTTTGTCATTGTCAGTATAGCACTATGTAACAAAAGAAGAGGATATATGACAAGGATATCACAGTGTATGTTGTAATACTATGGATTACAGCTCATTTATGGTAAGTGCTGATGCATTGGTCTGATACCATCTGTCAACCAAAGCAGGGTCAGTGTGTCTGTAGTAGTTACTGTTTACAGTCTAGTTAACAACTCAGGGTAGCAAAGCTAGCAGTTGACATAGCACCAAGGCACTTGAGAGCTCCCCCTCTTACCCACAACTGCTATGACAACATGGATAAAAACCACACACTTGAGCACCACTCAATAATTAATTATTGTGGTTTAAGATGATATAGTAGTAGAGACATCTGGTTTATGTATATGTGTTATGATGCTTAATCTTACCCCTCTGGTGCACTGCAGAGCTCGTCAATTAAACCAGCCCTCTCGTGTCTTGAGGCATGAACAATGCACTTTTCTACAACATTACTATAAGAGAGAGAAAAGGGAGGAAGAGAGAGAGAGAGACAGTAAGAGGGGAAGAGAGAGGAATACAAAGGAAATAGTAACTGATAGTTTTCAAGTGTGAAGTTCTGTTGTGGGATAAGAATGTGTGCTTAAGTGTCAATGTGACTTTTAAAGGTTTCAAGTGGAATCAACACCAAAGAGATATAGAGTGAATAACTTATTATATGAAATTCCATACATCTCTCATAGCAAAAGCAACACCACCCAACCAAAAAGTGTTAAACCACTAAATATTTGTAAACGTATCTATAGCAACCCCCAAGGTGTCGATTTAGCCCCCCCATACCTTGCAAATTTGTGCTGAGAGAGCGAGACAACTCTTCCACGAATCACTCCAATTATTCTTGACTTCTGCTCTGGTCTGCCTTTCTCTAAAACATGCTGGACCACATAGTTGCCATAATTATCCTATAAAATCCAAAACAGGATTCTAAAATTTGCTATAATAGTCAATAACGATAATCTTACAGCAATGAGCTGGTCGGCATGAAGGTGTATTTCTTTTAATAAGAGGTCGGTCTGCTGGGCTGTGCAATGCTCAAGGATTCGCTGTATCACACGGCAGCCATAAGGATGAGTGGCCATATCGTACACCTGTGCATAGTCAATTAAAAACTTGTAAAATAATTATTATTCTTTACATACCTGGCCCTTAAAGGATACAATGATGAAAGTGAGGAGTGGAGGATCAACACACTCTATGCACTTTTGTATGACATGGTTCCCATTCTGATCTCTTATGCTCTTGAGCACAAAACCGTCCAGCTCATTTATTATTTCAGCCTACACAGCAAATGAGATGTGATAACAAGGTTAGAATGCAGAGAGGGCTAGTGATAATACCTGCAAGTAAGGAGGAACAGACTCTATGGCTTTCTGTATAACACGACAGCCGTAAGTGTGCAACGAGAGAGAAGGGACATGTCCATGGAGTCTATCCACAAGAGTTGCTTTCTGATCGATGGTCCCAAACTCAAAGAACTTCTGGATGACGTAGTTCCCGAATACGTCAGTGATGAGGCTGTAAGAGGCAGGAAGGATCTCACTAAACACCATGTCTTTGTCTTCATCCGAACACTGCTCGAGTTTTTGCTGAATAAAACGAGAGCCATGCTGGTCTTTGGCAAAATCAACAACATGTCCTTGAACGTCGGCGAGATCTATTGTAGTTACTCGCCCGTTTCTAAAATCTTCCAAGAGTTGGCAGCGTTTTCCGTCCCCGAGACTTTTCCTTCTCTGTCCCCCTGGGCCGCCAGCCCCTGCTCTCCTAGGGGGAGAGGAACCAGTGCTGCCTGGCAATGGAGGAGGTGGTGAGTGCTTGCTGGTCAGATCAAAGGAGCTATAAGAAGGTATGTCCCATGAGAGAGACTGAGGAGGACTGTAGGAGAAGGAGCTCAGGCTAGTCGGAGAGTATTCTTCTGATGGATATGTAAAGACATTGTTGTACATCTAAAATGAGGAGAGAGTATAGTATCTAATTCTCATTGGAGACTACAGATAGTGACCACTAAACTAAACAGAACATGCATCAAAGGAGGACGAAGTATATTAAAGTAACTACCAAATACCCAAAAGTGCACATGCACAGTATGGCAATGACCATAATTAGCTGCACACACAAGTGTCTGCATGTACTCTAGTGTGTTACTCCATAACTGGCCACAATTTGACATTTTGGCACATACAGGGTTGCAGTGGTATTCATCAGTCAATGCACACAAATACTTAGGTACCACTTAATTACTGCATATCAGAAACCATTCAACAATTATAACAGAAGCCTCAGTAATGCACACTGCTTGCATAAACACTGAGTGTACTTAGAGCATCAAATGAGTTCTTGGGTATGTGGGAGTATACACACAAATACATGTACACGACAAACCGTTGACATTACATATTGTACAATTAATTGGCAGGAAGGCATAGCTGGAATTTTAATGAAGCGTAGTGACATGTTCGTCTCACAATAGCTACAACCTAAGCTACTACTGCCTGCATTCCTTCTGTGGTAAATTAATTTAGCTATAATAACATGGTAGAGTAGGCTTATCATGCACTCTGTCTTCTTTCCTTTGGCCTGACATAAAGTCTGTAGAGTGGGCACATTCTAGAGAGATAAACTTGATAGCATATACTATCAAGCTGTCCACAGGGGCGTGTTGTAGCAATCTTAAAAGATATACTATCTTACATTACAGAGTGTAATACAATCACACATATTATCTTTACTGCAGTGGCAAGCTCGTTTCTGAGCCCTGCAAGCTACACCCATCACAATAGCGGTGCAACTTCACAAAAGTCTTTTGCCACAAAATACTTACATTATGCGAGCCGAGAATGTCCAGTTGTGTGCTCATCCTGGTTACTAAGCGTTGCTCACAGCGTCTTGTTCACAAACAGAGCGATGACAACTACTGAAATGTCGAGGGCCTAGCGGAAGTTGGAGGGAGACAGTAGGTAAAGCAAGGCGCTCAGGCTAGTAACAGCTTGTAGCAGTAGGGACTTACTTTTTTCCTGACAGAAGAGTGTGAAAGAGTGAGGGCTCTTCTTGTGTAAATGCAAACCAACTATGGACACTTTAGGATCTCGCCCCCACCAGTTTATTTTATAGACACGTTTAGGGGGTTGTCCCTATTAATTACTTTACAATAATTACATTTTTGCATAATAGAGTGACAAATGTTATAAATTATAACTATGAGAGGAGGTCATCCTTTGCCCTGCTGATCATTTTAAAAGCATCTTCACTCCCTGGGGCAGAGTTCTTATCAGGGTGCAACTGAAAAGCAAGCTGTTTGAATGCCTTTAATACTTCATCCCTAAAAACAACAAGATGTATAATACAGGAATGAACTAGCAAATATTCAAACATACATAAACATAGCTGCTTCCTTTTCAATATGCACATAAAATTAACATATATATCTCTCCTTTCTCTATCTCTTTCTCCTCTAAGCTCTCTTACTTTGAGCAGTGTCTTGACAGTCCTAATATTTGATAATTTGAAGTTGACGATTTTAT